GTCTAATGAGTGAATGCAGAATGTGACAATATAATCTGTTCAGCAAAAGGATGAAACAAGCTCACTGAATGAAGCTAGTAGAGTGAAAATGTTGTGACGTAAGTGACTTTGGAAATTATTGTACAATAGTAGAGTTAATAAGTCTAAAGGAAAACAACTTGATCAAGCTATTTTGCATGAGGGCATGAGTTCATAATTCTGACATACTGTATGTATGTATGCTGAAAATCAAACCATCAAGTGAATGAGAAGCAGATATTGGAAAGCAAGTTTCTTAGTTTTGGAGTAAGAGTTTACATGTAAGTGGGAGAAAGAAGGATATACTTAATGATGTAGCATGATCCAGGTGATAATGTATTCGAATTGGAGACATTAGCATGAAAAAAAATTTGTTTAATAAAGTTACAGATGGTTACATATAGAAGAATATTTGTATAGAGGTTGATGTATTATACAATGTATTTTCTTGTTCTGTTATCTTAGAGGACCCAGAATCACAAATACCTTAGTAGCAAGGAGTACACTTAACAGCTAGACCTTTGTCTGCAATACAGTTTTTCAATAAAAAGACACAAAGATTTTATGAGGAAAACAGAAATACCAGAAAGAATATATGTACCCTATGTTCAGAGTAATAGCTCAATTGACAATAGCTCAGATTTGGAAACAGCCTAAGGGCCCATCAGTAGATGAGTGGATTAGAAAACTGTGGTACATCTACACAATGGAATACTATGCTGCTATAAAAAAAAGAAGGAACTTTTACCATTTGCAACAGCATGGATGGAACTGGAGAGCATTATATTAAGTGAAATAAGCCAGTCAGAGGAAGATAAATATCACATGACCTTACTCATTTGTAGAATATAATGAACAACATAAACTGATGAACAAAAATAGAAACAGAGTCATAGAAGCATTGAACAGACTATTCAATCTATGAGGGAAGGCAGTGGGGGGAAGGAGCATGAGGGGGTAAGAGATCAACCAGTGTACTTGTATGCATGCATATGAGCATAACCAATGGACACAGACGGTGGTGGTGGTGGTGGTGAGGGCATGTGTGGGGGGTAGGGGAAGCCAGGGGAAGGACAATGGAGGGAAAAGGGAGTCTTATGTAACGCTTTAAACAACAAAAAATTTAATTAAAAAAAATGAGTGAGATAAAAAACAAACAGTGAAAGAACAAATGATATAAATCAAGACCAGAATAACAGAAATAAAAGAGAACAGAATAACACAAAAAGTTCCTGAAATTAAAACTAAATCACTACAAGACAAGTCATTAGAACTGAAAGACAAAGATGAAAAGCTAATCATGAAAATGGAATCCTATATAATAAAAGCATAGTAAGCAAAATGTCCCCTCAATCAGGAGCTGTCTGTGAGTTCGACCAGGGGTCAGGGCCAGCCAGAGGAAGGGAGGGAACATATTTTGTGCACTGGCCCTCTAGTAAAATATAAGATGAAAAATGGTAAGTTAAATGATAATACAATGAACTCAAGACTAGGACATTGAAACAATAAATATTAAAAATTCCACAAATACCAAACAGAAAAACACGAAGTAGGAACCCATCAGAGAATGAATACAAGGAAATCTCTCCAAACTGAAGAAATGGAAGGCTCCATATGGAAAGGGTTCCCTAAGTGTCTACTCCTGAAAATGACAACAGATTCATCTTAATATATTAATGCCAATATCATAACACCAAGGGAAAAAAAAACAATCTGAAGACTGTCATGAAAAAATTTTTATGACATAAAGAGGAATGACCTGCATCTTTCTATTTCATAAGCTGTATTGGATACTAGAATATGATAGAAAACACCTTAATATATTAAAGAAAAAAAATCTAAAGAAACATTGTGTACCTAGAGAAACTAAAAATTTGAAATTTGGTGAAGAGACATTTTCAAGCATGGAAAGATTTATTAAATTATTTTCCTAACCATCTTTTTTCTTTTCTTTATTTTTTTTCTTTTTTTTTTTTTTTTTTTTTTTGCCAACTGATGTTACTTACTGACAAATTCTTAACTTTTTACAAACGTAGTCAATTCGGGGCCCAATTCAAATATGTCTGAATATTTATATCTGCTTTTAGGAATTCTTATTTTAGTATGATAGTTAGTGAAACTTAAAAGGATATCTAAAATGTTCTTCTAGTTGAAAGAAAGTAACACAAGGCTTTTCTTCCTATCACTTGTCCTCTCCCCCCCCCCCCCCCCCCCCCCCCCACACTCCTTGGGCTTAAGAATTGAGCTCTAGTTATTTTAACATTGAATTTTCTCACTCTGCCTACGAATCAATCCTACTGAAGCATAATGACAGTTATTACTTAAAAAATAGTTACATTGTTCTCTTGATGTGATGTGTGGTGAATAAATGTATAACCAACCAAATCCATACTGCAAAGATTTTGATATTCATATTATGTTTTAAGATCGCTATGATTATCAGTTTTATGTAATTCATAATTATTTATTATTTAATGAAATTCATGTAATTCTAACACAACTTGAGTCAAGAAGTTTTTGAAAAAACTTAGTTAATACCAAGAGCAACACGTTAATTTTACCAAGAGTATAGAAGAGAGGGAGGCTACATTGTTGCTCCATATGACATTTCCAGTTAGGGACAGAATTTGGTTCAAAAGCAATTTTATATTATGTCAAGTGTAGCATCGTTTCACTCTTATGTGTTGATGGAATGCTTCTTTGAGAACAATTAAAGATTGCATTTTATAAATATATGAGTAACAAATATGTGTTAAGTATATAAGTACATATATCTGTAAAAGGAAACATTCAATGTAATTATGACACTACAGAACATCTGTCCTTAATGACCAAAATTCCCCATGTAAGTCCTAAACATTTTTATAATATATTGCTTAATGAGTGCCAGTGACTGTGTTATTAGTATAAATAAGAAAAGGATTCCAAGTATTGCAACATTAATTTTAGTGCTTTTTATAGTATAAAAGATACCCCATACTTCCAATTTATAAGCACCAAAGGCCTCTTTTCAACAAATCATGCCTATGGTTTTCCCTTGGACCTGAAACTATTCCCATTCAAGATTTTATTTTCCACATGTTTGTTTGGTTGTTTGTTGAAGATCAATTTTTTTTTTAAAATTCTGTTAACATCTGTGTGCTTGATATGGGCTGAATTGGCTCGCCCTCAAATTCATATTTTGAAGTCCAAACCACCAGTGCCTCAGAATTGAAGTAAAGAGAGGTCCTCTGAATAGGCTCAGTATGACTGGTGTGACTACAAGAAGAGGAATTGGCCACTGGCAATGCCATGAAGCAGAGAAGATGGCCATCTACAAGCCAAAGAGAGCAGGCCACAGAAGAAGACAATGCTTTGGACTCCTTGATCTTGGACTTCCCTCCAGAACAAGGAGGAAATAAAGTCCTGTTGGTTAGGCCACCCAGCCTTTGGTACTTTGTTATGGCATCCTAGCAAAATAATGCAGCGTGTAGCAAAAATAAAAGATGGAGGTACCTAAAAAAGCTTACTAGTTTGGAGAAAAGACTCACCGATTTTATGTTTTTGTTTAGTATCTCAGTCCTGTGGCTGACCATGACCTGCCCCTCCCAAATTTTCTCCATGCCACCATTTTCCCGCTGTATTGCTGTGTGCAACAGCAGTTAGATTCTCTAGCAAGATGCAAAATGCAGTAATTCCTGGCAAGAACTAGTTTGCCAGTCCTTAGTGATCTTGCAGTTCAACCTTCTGGAAAGGCATACGCATCAAATTATGTTGCAAGGAGAAATCCAGAAGTTGCCTTTATTTTTCCCCCCCTCTAGTATAGTTATCATATCACCAGCTTTTTAAAAATAAATATTTTCCAAAGCATATTATACTGCAAATTATTAGGCTACATGAGTATTTTAATGCAGTTCCCAGGGGTGAGACAAAGGTAATGAGGTGGTAGTGGTATGAAAATGAGGTCAACAATTGTTCCTAATAGAGACAATAAGGCAAGTCACACACACACACACACACACACACACACACAAAAAAAAAAGGATGGGAAATACAGATTCAAATGCTCAAATTGCCACAACATAATTATTATTTATATATTTTTAAGTAAGCACTTAGTAAAGAATAGGACTGAAAATAAGCTGCCTGGATTATCTATTTTTCTATTTTTTCCCCTGTCTGTGAAATTTATTTTCACAGCCTTGCAAGTATAAACATATTCACAAATATAGCCAGATATGGTAGATATATCAGGATGGATCTATAAACAAGTTTTTCTACATATAATTTCAATACTTCTGTAGTAACTTGCATACTTTAAATATTAAGAAAAATACTCTTACTTTATAATTAGCTGGCTTGTTAAGTACATTTTTTAGCTAGTGTATAGTTCTTCTGAAAATAATGTATGTGTATAGTTTGTCTGAATGCTTTCAAATTTAATATTTATTAGAAACCTGTATCAAATTACACAGTTCTTTACAAAATAATTGTAGGGATGATTTATATTGAAATTATTGTAGATCAGTGTAACGAAGCAATTCTGAGCCTCAAAATAATAACAATGCTCACAAAGTTGAAGTCTATGTTAGTAAAATAAATAAATGATCCGGCTTTTCACTTGTGTTTATTTTAGGAGTTAGTTATTAGTTTGAGTTTTCTGAAGTCCCTGATATTTTTTGTTTGTTTATTGTTGTATAATAAATGCTTCTTCGGGATGCTATAATTCCATCCTGTATTATTTGAAATGTATTTATTTTATTTAGTCATCACATAATCACTAGCTTATAAGAAATTCTGAAAAGCTATATAATTAATTAATTTTTTTCTTATTTAAATTAATGGTACTTCCCCCCACCTTACCCTCCTCCTCCTTCTGCCCTCCCCTCCCCCATAAAAAAACATTTTCATAAAAGGACAACTTAGAGTTTTATCTATGAATGAAGACTTCAATGATCTGGTCACTTGTTAAAACCAACCTTCCACACACCACCAGCACAGTATTAAGACAAAACCAGTTTATTTTAATGTGGAGTTTCAGCCCTGAGGCCTCTCTTTATAAAGAGGGATTTTTTTTTTTAAATTTCATTTTGTTAAAAGTTTATTTTTTGATAAAAAGTAACATTTTAATGAATAGCTTAATATGAAGTAATGGGAAGATCAAACATTGCTTTTAAAATGCAGAACTTACATATTGAATTTAACATCACATTTATTTCAATTTTCTGAAAGGGTGGGGAAAACAAATGCGTTTTGGCATACAGTTTTAAAAATGTTTGAATTCTAAGAAGATGGAGTTCAGAAAGTATGCTTTTTATTTTTTCTCAAAAGGAATTAGAAGTCAGCATGTTGCTATTGCTCCTTGGCATATAAAGACGGTGTCTTTGTTTCATGTCCTCTGTGTCTCTGGGTCCTGCAATGTCATCACAGCGGAGTGTACTGTACACCACTTTAAATGATAAGAGTTTCAATAGGCACTTTAGTGGAATTAAGAAAAATCTAACACTCTTCCACCGTGATGCCACCTAGCTATCTTCATTCTAGGTTGTCATGTCAGTAAATTGTATTTAATAGGCCTGAGCTTGTCTCAGTGTGTTTCCAAAATAACAAAACCAAACCAAGCAAGTACATCTAATAGGATTTATCTTGTGTTGGCAGAACAAACCAAAACTGACAATATGATAAATATAGCAACTTGCTAGAAACCAGATACTCAAAGAATTTCTTGTCCTATAAAGCCTGTGTGTGTGTGTGTGTGTGTATGTGTGTATGTGTGTCTGTGTGTGTATGTGATTCCTTTATTTTTCTTTCTTAAATTTCTTCTGTTGATATAGTCTTTGCTTCTCCCCTAAGTGACTTTATCAGGATTATAGCTCTCTTCTTCGCCAAACATGTCTGCCAGGACTTTAAAGCGGGGTCCCCAGTCTGTCAGGTAGTCATAGTCCTGGTCAGCTTCCGAGGTGAGAGAGTCTATGGAGCTGAGGGAGTCTGCCACGGACCCATTTCCCTCATAGGCATATGTTGCCAGTGAATCATATGGTGGGGCGGTTGGGTCCACATCGTTTTCCTGCAGCCTCTGATGAATGAAATCCCTTATGTCTGTGTTATCTTCCACTGCAGGTCTCTGCCGAGGTAAGCAGAGGGAGTCTGGCTTGATATCCCTGCGAATTTTGTTATCTTCAATCGCTTTTGGGTTTCTCAGAGCACCAATGTCGAAAGCCTGGGTGTCCTCCTCCCCACCTCCTTCGTCGTCGTAATGGATAACGTTGTCTCTGATGTCTTCTTTGGAGGTCATCAGGGTGTCTTTCTTCTTCTGCCTTCGCAGCGCGACGTACAGCACCACTATGACTAGAAGACAAAACAATTGAAAGTTGAGAACATGTCAGTTCATGGACTCATAAAAATAAAATTGATCAAGGCTGACTGGCTTTATTTAATAACATACGGTCACTGAAATCGATAAGAATCAGATCTATGCTTATATTTTTTCATTGCCTACACTCAAACTTATTTTGAAACTGTAACAAGAAATCATAGCCACATTATTCACAGACTCAAACAATGATGGCCTTCTTATAGAAAATATCAACGTGCATTATATATAAATATTTTACTGCCTGGTAAAAAGTGTTTTACAAAGTTACAAAAAGAAGTATATTATTGCCCACCCAGAGTGGCTCAATAGCTGAGCATCAACCTATAAACCAGAAGATCGTGGTTCAATTCCTGGTTAGGGCACATGTGCCCAGTTGGAGGCTCTATCCCCAGTGTGAGACATGCAGGGAGCAGCCAATGGATGATTCTCTCTAATCACTGATCCTCTTTGAACTCAATAAAATATATTTAAAAAATAAAAGCATTGCTTGTTGTAAATATACAGAGAGCTGTATAGCATCGATATTATAAAGTGTGAATATTATAGCTCATCAACAATATTTAGGTATTATTCATACTTAGATTTCCCACTTATGTTAACTTCTTCTAATGAAATAAATACAATCTTCTTGTGAGAGTCATTTTTAAAAGCAATAAATAAGCAAGAGATAAAGAGAAGAATATACAATGTAAAGGCCTTAGTATTATAAACCATTTAACTAAGAGCTCTAATAATTTAAATTATGTGTCCTACTACATTGAGACATTTCCCAAGCCAAACACCTGGTATCCAATTACCGTCATGAAGCATGATAATACTTTGAAATAGTTAACTTATATACTCTTATTATTAAATATCTCTTTGTTTCTAGTTGACTCATTGCCACCATTAAATCATGTTTATCTCTTCTATGGGTAAATAGGTACAGATTCAAACCATGAAGTCAGTACTCAACTTCCCTTGTCATATACCCCCTCTTCTCCATAGTGATGGTAATAGTTGAAAGACAAAATGTGCTCCATTTACCACAGCAAAGCCTGGAAGATTCTTGTCATAGGATGATGAAAGCCCACTTATTCCCTCTTCCTCCAAAATTAGAGTTTGATGAATTGAAAAGACAGGGGAGATAAAGGTAGAGCTTCTACAGAATAGTTTGTTCACCTGGGGAGTACATGAGAAGCTGCAGACCTCACAGGGAAGCCTGGCATATAAAACAGCTTTAGAGTTTCCACGACGGAAAAGGAGACTAGATAGATGTACCCGAGGCTGCCTAAAAGGTATCCAAGCTCCACAAGATTCTTATGCTTCCCCTTACTTAGGAAGGATTTGAAAATAGTTAAGAATAAACTGGAAGATTTAAGAGCCTGAGATTAGTTAAGGAGGTCAAACCATGGATGGACTTTTAAGCAGAGCCCATGGCAAGACTAAGAGTGCCAACATTTACTGCTGTATGCTAGCAAAGTAATAAATCTAGACCAGTGCAGGTGCATGGGGGACACTCAGTGAGTGTTTGGGTGAATAAGTGATGGACGGCAATGCATAAGGTTGACCTGAGCGAGAATAACTGCTACACTCTATAACAGCACCCGTGGCCAAAGGCAAGCACTCGGAATATGTCACCTCATGCTAGATTGATATGCAAATACTCTATGATTCAAAGAACTTTCAGAGAAGAGTGTGAGAGAGGACTGGTTGATTTGAAATTAAACACCTAATTGATCACGTTCTATTTCAGATGTGAGAATATTATTTCGAATCTTCCCTTTGAAAGGTTTCTATTATCAGCATAAACAGATGCCAGATATAATTTACCATAAATTATAATGATGTGAAAATACTTTGTTCTACCCACCCGGGTATTTGAGTGGAATTAATATTTACATCATGTAAACTGGACTAGAACTTTGCCCTCTAAGTCAAAGGAGATTATGACCCAGAAATTGTTCTTCACAAACTATTATGTAATGCCTTACTTCATGCTTTACCTCCCCCTATTTTTTATTATTATTTTTTAACTCTAGAAATAAAGAGAGTTGTCTACATTTGTCAGGATTTTGTGTAGTTAAGTAATAAACATTCATATATAAACTAATTCCACAGTGTCCACTATGTATCTATTGCAACTTGAATGTAAAATAATGACTAAAATAACCTCAGAAAATTTCTCTTCACTTTTTTTTTATTCTGGCAGTAAATTAATTTGGGAAATGGAGTCAGCAGAAGAGTTGATGGAAGAGGAAAATCCCTAACTAGGTTTGTGTTTATTCTCGCAGAGATGTTACAGAATACATTTACTTTGATCCCTTTCATCTGGCATGCTGCAAGATATTTCAGTGTGGTCTCTTCTGTTCCAGTGGAAATGGCTAGAATTTTGATGTGAAGAGATATGAGAAAAGTGGAATAAAAATCACTTCTGCTGGCTGTTTGAACAGGAAAAAAAAGTAAATTAGAGGTTCCTTTACTTTATCTCTATTTCTTTTCTTTCCTCTTTTCTTTACTAGTATTTATTAAACTAATGTTTGAGAACTACTATTCAACTGGTGTATTTTTAATGGCTATACAGTAACTTAGGGAGTAATAATTGCTAGGATGTGAAATAAGTGGAGAAGCCATTACAGTAAATAGGATATTTGTTACAGAAAATTTCATTGTGGCAAGTTCCATAAACTTTTATTGTTTGGGAATCCTCTAAGGCTTGAACAAAGTTTTGTCTTTTTGAATGTTATTTATTTATGCCTGATGCTATGCATCTACAATAGAATATTAACTTTCATAAAAATATAATTCAGTGTGACTAGACTATCTTCCTTCTAACCCAATATAGCATCTCAGAGAGGAGAGGACATACAAGAGAGAGAGAGAGGCAGAGGGAGAGAGAGCAAGGGAGAAGAAGGAGGAGGAGGAGGAGGAAGAAGGAGGAGGAGGAGGAGGAGGAGGAGGAGGAGGAGGAGGAGGAGGAGGAAGGAGAAGGAGGGGAAGGAGGAGGAGGAGGAGGAGGAGGAGGAGGAGGAGAAGAAGGAGGAGGAGGGGAAAAAAGAGAGAAGTCGTTAATATTGAAACCCACCTAAGAGTATAACAATGCACAGCAGGATTGCAATCAAAGCCCCAGTGCTGAGTCCTACAGGTAGAAAAATTGCTTCCACATTACAAGACAGGATGGTACCATCAGAGTCACATCTACAAACTCGAATAGTCATTGTGCTAGTGCTGCTCTGGACAGGATAGCTGCTGTCTTCTATCACAACAGGGAGGAAATACAGCTCTTGTTGCCTCCGGCTGTATCCATTTCTTCTGGCTTCAATTCCAGCTGTGTTGTCTGCAAAACATGACATTTATGATAAGATGGTTATTATGAGCTTCATCTCAAAGTGGATGTCTACTGAACAGTAAGAAGCTCTTCCTAAATTAATAAAATACATCATATTTTAATTCTTTTTATCATGAAAAATGCCAAAAAAAAAAAAGTAATCCTTAGGGGAAAAAGAAACATTATTCTTCTCCGATAAAAGAATTACATTTGCTATTTAGAAAGAATACAATACCGTGTACAAAAAAAAAAAAAAAGAGATGTGTTTACCTATTTTTTATGACATCAAAATCTCATAGAGAAAAAATGCTTCTGTGAATATTTTCTCACATAATAGCAGGACAAATTATTACAAGTATGAACCTGCAAAAAATCTTACCTTACAACTTATTATTTAAAAACACAACAAATATCAAATTACTATTTCAGGTTAATTTTGGGGATATTCCCCCCCCCAAAAAAATTATCTAAAATGATAAGAGAGTAATATGCTAATTAGACCTGGTGACCTTCCAGATGTTCTTCTGGACAATGCCATGATGGAGGGACCAAAGCAGAGGTGGTTAGGGAAATTAGGCCAGCAGGGGAGAGCAGTTAGGGGGATCAGACCAGCAGGGAATGGCAGTTGGGGGCAATCAGGCCAGTAGGTGGGGGCAGTTGGGGGTAATCAGGCAGGTAGAGAGGGGCAGTTAGGAGTGATCAGGCAGGCAGTCAGAGAGGTTAGGGGCGATCAGGCAGTCAGGCAGGTGAGCGGTTAGAAGCCAGTGGTCCTAGAATAAAAGAGGGCTATCCAGTAGTCGGACATCCCCCAAGGGGTCCCCTATTGAACAGGGTGCAGGCTGGTCTGAGGGAACCCGCCCTGCACAAATTTTGTGAACCAGGACACTAGTGTCTATCTATAAAGTTTAAAATTTGAATGTTAGAGTAACATCTAAAGTAAAATAAATTGTATTAATACCATTAAAATTCAAAAAAATTTTTAACACCGGCATGAATTATAATCACCATTTTCATTACAAAAATATTTTATTTTTCATAAAATGAACAATAGCAATATTTATTTGGAATCATCCAAGACAATAGCATTCTAAATATTTCACCTACTGCAACCTGGAATTTTATATTTCTCATATGTGGATTTCCATATTTTATGAATTGAAGTGCTTGTAGGAAACGTATTGGCATCTATCTTTGTGTCCTTTTACAAAGTTGCATGGTAACAGGTAAATTTTTATGTGGTACTTACTTCTGAAGTCACGGACTGTAAAATTTGGTTTGATGGCTGCTTCAGGTGATATTCTGAAGGAGAATTGCTGCCCAGCAGGGGAAAGATCTCGGTCAGCAGCGCTGACTAGCTGAATGATCTGAAACGAAGTGGAGATGAAACCTGAAGTCAGTCATCAGTTTCAAAGGGAATTTTACATTTCATGCTAAAAAGTTTATTTAATGAGGCAAGCAAGTAAACAGGATTGACACACTGAGGATTCATATCAGTGGATCAAGTATTTACAAATAATTTTAATGTACAAATATGTAAACATTGATAGCATATGGGTACACTCCAAATCAATATCTGCAAACTCAAATGTTTAATGGCATTGAATGTACTCACCAATAAGCAAAATAAAATTAAAATGTACTTACTTGCATTTTAAATGAGACGAAATAAGTGCTTTTGAGCCAAAGTACGAAAATGCTTACTAGAACAAAATCTGTGAGTATTTAAAAACCCTAACGTTAGCAAAATTGCAGCATAGTTATTCTGTGAGAATGAGTGTTACTTCATAAATAAATAAAATTATGAGAGAAATACAAAGGATGCGCATTTGTTTCTGTTGTTATGTTTGCTGTCCCTCAATGGTTAAAAGTACTTTTTTTTTTTCAGAGATTTTTAAAGAAGAAAGACGTTTTCATCTAGTTTCTAAGATTTTTTCCTAAATTGTCCCCATTGGGTTTTATTGTAGTTAAAATTGTGATACTTCATTAAAATGTCTTTAAGAATTTGGAGATTAAAAATTACTGCTGAGAGCCCAACTATGAAATTGATAATTCACTTAGTAAATAAGCATCCCAGAATGGTTTTGAGGCATTCAGTTATTAATATATCCAATGGCTCTGCATCAGAATGAATTTCAGGGAATTTGTGTGAGAAGGTGAGAGCCTTGTGCTGGTTAGTGATCATGCTCTTGACTTCATCTGAATCCAAAGAAAGACCTTGGATTTAGAATACTATATCCTGGCGTCATGTCATCTTAGATTGATGCCCTTAAACATGTGATCTAATCTACTACTTTTTATTTTAACTTTGTACTTAAAATCAATTTTATGACTCTGATCAACCTTCTGATGTAGATGTGTGTGCATATGTCCACTCACACAGACACACATACTAAGACTTCGAGTGTCTGGTGCAGTGTTAGTAATTTGTAATTTGACAAACTCATCCTCTGTGAGAATTCTGGTTCTTTGGTTCAGGTGAATCTGTTGCAGGATTATCATAAGTGAGACTTTAATTATGCAACACCAAAGGTCAGGTCACAGAATGTGGTAATTTAGCCAAAGAACCACCATATAGACCCTGTAAACTTTAACTTCACACAAATCCGTATGCTCAGATCACTATATCTCATCCATACAATCTAACTTATTTGAGCACTAATAACTGTTTTCTAAGTTTTTTTTTCCTTTTAACAACTTAAAAGCAGCATAATTATTGATCAAATTAGAGGTCTGTAACATTAATGCGTATCAAGAACATAACTTTTAAATTAAAAAAAAAAAGTCATTCAACCACCAAAGAGACATGACAATTGGGGCATGAACTGTCACTTACTTGGAATCATCACTTGGGAATAATTGCCCTAAGGGAAATAACTCCCATATAAATCTTTACTGATCCAATATATAAAAGTTTACTGTACACACAGCCTCATCTTTTTCCCTTTTCTGTTTCTTATTTTGATACATGCATACATCTGTACATACATATTCAATTATAGTTCAGAAAAGATAAATAGTTCTATGCACGGATCCTAGGTAAAGGGCAGGATGGCTGAGGTCAAAAGCAGGAGATGCTCATATACTACCCTCTCTGCAAATTCAAGGGGCGTTTTAGGGTTATCAAGGCACATAAATGTGGCCCCATAGGGCACACAAGCCCAACAGATAGATATTAGCAAAATATCCTCCAAGGATTATTCGTATTTCTCACCAATTTGTTAGATATAAAAAATAATGAAGCTATGTCTAATAATTTCAATTACTCCCAAATTTTTAAACCCTTTGTTTTACTAGGTAAACACAGAAGCCTTAACTAGAGTTCTATTTCCAAAAGGCGTTCATTTAGTGCATTGCAAGTTTCTGATTGATATGCAATAATTAATGTCCCTAATTACTTAAAAATAAAGGACTGACTTTTGCGGATGGAGAGGATGGAATGGAAAGTAGAAAATGACTATGTTAACTTCTTATAACTCCCCAAATGACTAAATCAGGTTGTGTATTTGTATAAACATTTATGCAGCATCTACTATTTCAGACACTAAAACAGGCATTGGGCTCATTCTATGTAAATTGTGGGTACATTTAAGGTGTTTATCACTTGGGAAAAGGTGTGTAGACTAGTCATGCCGAAAAAAAAAATTAATAGTTTCCTCTCAATATTCAAAGGAAGGATTAGAGCAGCATAGTCCACTAGACATTTCTGTATTTTCCTTGACCAAAATGACAACCACTCACACCTATCATACAGCTATCACACACTTGAACTAGGGCAAACATAAGTCAAAACATGGATTTTTTTTTAATTAAATTTAATTTAATTTAATTGCCTTGTGGTAATGGGCATCACAGATTTAAAACTATGAGACAAATGTCCTATACAGCATAGAAGACAGTCAAAATGAAACAAATGCTATAGATTTAAGATTTCCCTTTTCAAAAAATATGCTCTTTTTAAAAGATATATATTTTATTGACTTTTTATAGAGAGGAAGGGAGAGAGATAGAGTTAGAAACATGGATGAGAGAGAAACATCGATCAGCTGCCTCCTGCACAACCCCTACTGAGAATGTGCCCACAAGCTAGGAATATGGTCTTGACTGGAATCAAACCTGGGACCCTTGAGTCCTCAGGCCAACTATCTATCCACTGAGCCAAACCGGTTAGGGCAAAATATGCTCTTTTTAAATATTGATATTTTTTTTCAAGTAAAAATTAAAACTTAATATTTTCTTAAAGGAGTAGTTACACTACTTAAAGGTGTTTTAAATATAGAGCAAATTAAAGGATACCAACATATTTTTTTCTTTTAGAACCTAGGTGAACAGATTGGTTTATTCATAATCTTTTTGCATGAAATACACTTATTAGTTTATGCCTGATAACCATTATTTTATTCATTCATTCACTCATTCATTCATTTACAATAAGGTAGGAAAAAACTTGGAGGCCCACAATCACCAACATAAATCAGAAGACTTTGACAGAAACTTTCATTACTGTGTATGTACATATTCATGTATGGTCATACAACCTAAAGCACATGCATATAATAGGCCCTTATACACTCTTAATTAACAATATTGATAAGATACCTGTCCTGGTTTGGCATTTTCACACACAGATGTCTCATATGGCACAGCTATTTCTGGTGGAAATTCATTGACATCTAGGACATTAATCAATATGCTGACTTTGCTGGTTAATAATGTGTTACCTGTTAAAATATAAAAAGAGAAAAGATAATTAAAAAGTTTATGGTCAGTTATTGCTTATACTGAAAATAGCATTTTTAAAAAATTCAGCCTTCATTTAGAATCCCAATGACCCACTGAGTACAAATGAGAAAGAGGTGAGTAAGTGAGGTACCAATGTTTCACTCTCAAAAAACTAACAGTGCACTACACCAGTGTTTATTCCTGAAATTCACCACCCACCAAAGTAAGGCCAATCTTTTAGCCAGAACTTTATCATGAGGATCTCCATCCTACCAGGGTTAGTTCATAGAACCAATCACCAACAGTAATATTTTTCACTGGATAAAACATACATTTTTTTATGTTGTGTCCACATAATTAAAACATTATTGGGTATAATAGAATCTCATTTACATATTTAAATAACTCTCTCAAAAAAAGATACTTCCTAGGAAAAATGATGACAAATTACAAAGAGAATGAAAGAAAGATGGCTTTTTATAAGTGAAAATTAAACAGATGTAAGGATGTAGAAGTAAATTACTTGCTGATGTCCTGATTACTGTGACGCATGTACCAAAGGGTCATAAGTTGGATTCCCTGTGAGGGCACATAGCCAGGTTTGGGTTCAATCCATGTCCGGGTGTGTTTGGGAGGCAACCAGTCAATGTTTCTCTGTCACATCTATGTTTTTCTCTGTCTCTCTCTCCCTTTCCCCCTTCTTCTCTCCCTAGAATCACTGAAAAACATATCCTACAGTGAGGATTTCCCTTTTACCTTTCTGTGTGAACGCTTAATGTCTTGCTTATTTTCCATATTAACATTACAGCACACTATTCTTCTTGCTAGTTTACTTTGTCTGATGCCCATGTGATGAACATTTTTTTTTCTTTGTGAACCTTATGCACTGAACACAACATATGTAGCAATAAGTAAGTAAATAAATAAATTGGTAAAATGTTGCTGATACTTTTATATTCATTTTAAGAATAAATTTATTAAAAAAAATAAATGTTATGATATAAATTTTTTCACTTAAGATATAACATTATTTATTTCACACAAGTACAAAGCCAACCGATTAATTTATTAATTATGAACATATCCATTTGTTGCAGAGTATAACATCTTGGGTATGAGACATATATGATGATGTCCTTAATATTAAGAATTTCATACTTGAGAAGATCGCTAAGTTTTTTGAGATCATCTATTTTACAAATGAATGAAATAAAATATAGTGCATGATGTCAATAAATTCTCCAAGTAAAAATGTTGCCTGGTTTTGCATTGCATTTTTGGCATGTGATGTTTAAAAGAGTTTTATGTATATACCTTTTTATTTAAATCCTAATTTCCACCTTCAGGTGAAAGCTCATCATGTAGTTTAATTTCCTAAGAAAATTGGATACTAATTAAGAAAAAGAAAAATAAGAGTAGCATTACCGTTGTGTATGTGATTTTGATGGAGCAATTATACTGATTTAAAGTACTGTTGCAGTTTAATTAGGGTAGTCTACCATAAGCAGTTTTGTAAGTCTAAAATAAAATATAAGGTATTATCGATACAACATAAATTTGAATTCCATTATATTTACACAGCCTATATTAGTGAAGAAAAATGGGATCATTTCAAAATTAAGTTTATGATTATATTGGTGTTAATGATTATTATTTCCATGTAAATGATACATTGCAAGACTTTATGAAATGGTGTGAACTTTTACCGTTATATAAATTTTATAAATGAAGTGATTCTATTTCAGAGTGTTACTCTTACAAGTTATACTGAAACGTTGCCAATATTGGACTAGTATAATCAAATTACCTTTTTTTGAAACTACAAAATAGTTTCATATAATTTTTCGGAAGGGGGATTATAGAACAGTAGATAAAAAAAAAACCTAGACTCACATGTAAAGTAAGGTATCCATGAAAAGAAAGAGAGGAAAATTACTTGAGCAATAGAAGGGAAAAAATAACTTCAATCTAGAATTAAAATCAATCTTTATATTAAGTCCTCAAAAGTCATCTGCACTTTAAGAGTAACTATTCATATGACTGATTCCACTGTTTTGCTCCCTAGTCATAATCATTTGCAACCTCCACCTGGAGGTTATATGAGATCACACTTAAATCTGAAGTCTCTATAATTCAGCATAATTTGCATAGCTATATTTTACTAAAATTATTTATTTTAGTTAACTTCTAACTACTGGTAAACTTTACTATTCTCAATAATAGACTTCAGTCTTAGTTTTCCATAACCCCAAAACAAATAGTGCTTTACATGTAATATGATATTATATGCAAGTTTATAAAAACAAATGTATGAATTAATGTTGAACCTGAAGTATAGTAAGCCTGAAGTTTGACTTTTCTGTACATATGAAAATCATATCACTTGCATTATGTTTTATTAAAAAGAATTTATAACAAGATAGATTTATATGCCAAATGGACTTAAAAATTAATTACCTAACAATGTAATCACAAGTCATAATGATATGTATACATAGAAAATTTCCTCCAAATATAGTACTTTGTAAGTCAATTCACTGATTTTTTACCTATGAGTGGAAATAATCCATTACCACCCAGATAATTACATGACTAAGAAAAGAATTATCTTTGGTGTCATCTGTTTATTTTACAATTATATAAAACATGTTCAAGGATTTTAATGTAGTTATTCTTAATTATTTTCCCTAATGATACTTATTATAGTAACAGCAAAATAAAATAGAAATATTTTCATGTTGAAAATTTCCGATAATTTGAATGAAATTAATTTTTGGAGCTTCTGTCTTTTTAAAAGTCTCAAGATTAGCACCATAAAAACAGAAAAGTAGTAATGCATAAAAAAATTACTAGAACTCTAATAAAATTATTTGGATCCCCAACTATAGCAACACTGATTAATGACTGCTTTTTAATTAATTGGAAGTTGTTCAGTCATTGTACCTTTTCATTTCTCCTGAGAGTTTTTATAGAAGATTCAGGGACCAACATATGCTAGTTCAATCTGCAATAAGGTATATTTATACAATCTTGTTCTTCTTGGCAGGGCAAGAATGGGCTATTTATTTCTCAGTCATTCGGGGTGGTGATAGTTTTCTGCTCAGCTGGCTAGTTCAATCAATGAAAATAGCCTTATGCATTAGAATATGAATAAAGTTTACTTTTAAACTCTGTGAATTCAAGCAAAATAAAGCCCAGAATAAGCTATTCTTTTTTTTTTTTTTTTTTAAATCCTCACCTGAGGATAATTTTTAGAGAGAGTAGAAGAGAAGGAGGAGAGGAAGAAAAGGAGAAACATCAACATAACAGAGACACATTGATTGGTTGCCTTCTGCATGGCCTTGATATAGGGCGGGGAACCTGCAACTGCAGTACATGCCCTTGATCTAGAGGCTATGGACCAATATGCTAACCACTGAGCAAACTGGCCAGGGCCACAATAAGCTCTTCTTATTGCAGAATATTTAATTCATACAGAGTGTGTGTTTAACCTCTTTATTTTTCACAGAGACATATAGTGTTTACCCCAGCAGGTTTCTCAAGGGTTTAAAGACCACACAGTGGTCTTTAAATAAATACCAGAATAGACTGGGGTAGATAGAGATGTTCGAAATGTTACCTTACTCTTTTATTCTGTGTATATATGGCTTATGGGTCTAAGTCACAGTTCTGCATATATTCCAGTAAGGGCCAACATAATTGATGACACTCCACACACTTGGGTCTCCTAATTTTCATTTAAGTAAATACTAACTCAGTGGGTTGGTGGCAGAGCCAGCATGTGCCCTGATTATATTAATAATTTTAGAAATAACGCTCCCTAAGTTTGAAAAATCTAAGTCTTTGAGGATCAATTCCACTATAAGAACCCAAAGTCTCCTTCCATTTCCCAAATAGTTGAAGCTCAACACTGATTTAGGTGCCAGCCATGCTCCTACAAGTGCCCTCATAGCATGATGCTGGTTTTATGGCCTGGATATCCACTGGGAATAAGACCTCTTCTGGAGCTATAATACAGGTGATCAATGCACTAGCCACATTTTTACCTGGAGTTAAGGTACAGAGCCTCCTACTCCTACTTCAACAACACGCACACTTTCCGTGTGTGCATTTGTAAGAAGGTTAGAATGGTCAGTATTCTAATTAATGATCTATGGATACTATGTCTTTGATGAGTAGAAGTTATTTAAAGAGACTGCCTCTGGACAGTTGTCACTCTGTCCAAGTCTTATACTCCATATCTTAGACAACTCATTTTCACTATATTGCCCAACATCTTAGAAAACGAAAGCTAATGTTATAAGTACAACATGGTTAAACTGCCCCCAACATTCTGGATGAATGAAATAATTGAAAGTTAGCTTGGAAGGAATGCAGAATAGCATATGTAACCATGATAGGATGTGACACTAGAGGGAAGAAAGGTAACAAGTGTAAAAGGAGGCTTCAGGAAAACAGAGAGAATGGGGGTAGGAGCTCCAGGGGAGCTGGGCATTCTGTTCTGCTGATGATATCTCTGCTCAGACTGGCTCATCTGTGTTCAGAGCCTAACTGAGCAAGGAGGGCAGGGGATGGCAGAACAAAGGATGCAGTAGAAGAGTAGCGGGAAATGTGCCTACTTAGCATGACAAAGATGTGTGGATTTCCACAGGGTCAAGTTAGCACAGCAGAAAGGAGCTGAAACTGAAAAATTAGGCTATTAAACCACCAAAGAAGATGCCCGTTGCACAAGAGGGGAGGGGGGTGCTGGAATTAAAAAGCTTAAGGTCTTCTGCTGGTGCTCATATCAAGTTCCTATCCAGATGCAATGAGAGATACTCTCTCCCCTCCAACTACCAGCATTAAGTAACTAAAAAAAATAAAACAAAACAAAATCATAGGAGAAGACAGTATTTGAGCCACTGCCTTACTGCCAATCCATTTTAGTCATAGATGCAGTGGTGACCAAACACTATCTGGGGACAGAAAAAGAAGATGGGTGAATTTTTATCTCTCTATCGCTTTTCCACTCTAACGGACCAGAGAATCTGTGCCCACAAGCAAAGAATCATGGTTCTAATTTATAGTGTCATTGAGTTCTGCAGTTATCTATTTGCTGTGTAAAACAAATGGCCCCCACGTGTAGTTGGCTTGAAATAATTACACTTTTCGTATTTCTCACAACTTTGTGGGTAAGAATCTGGGCAGGCTTCTGCTGGGGAACAGATTGCATTGCACGTGGTAGAGAAGTTATGCTGCGTTATTCAGCTAGCGAGTGGCCTGGACTAGAGGTTCCAGGTCTCACTCACACTTCCAGGACACCGGCAGGCGTGGTTAGAAGGGTTAGAATCTGGCTGAGCTGACCTTGGATGGTCAGCCTGACCACCGGCACCTGGCCTCTCTAGTGTGGTGGCCTCAGGGCAGCCAGCCTTCTCACATGACAGGCCACTGTTCCAAGGTCCCAGGCAGAAGCTACATTTGCGTTTATGTTAGACTTACCTTTAGTAACCAGAATAACCTGCAGGGAATGAAATGTGCTAAAGACATCACCGAGGCCTGGGAATAGGTGTCTGATAATTCGTGTTTTTGAAGCAGTTGCTGAAGATAAACAAAACTGTTTCTTCTTTACCCCCCAGTGAGTTGAGATTGATAAAAAAAAAAACCTCCAACAGAAACATTCACAGCCAGCTCCAGCTCCTCCACCCCAGCTATCTCGACACACACACACACACACACACACACACACACACACACGAGAGATGAAATTAGCTGCCAAAGTATTTGTACTGCATGCACAAAATGAAATAGGCACAGAACAAAAACTGAAAGGTACTCAGAAGGGATTCCTCCAAGTCTTTCAAGAGACCATAAGCAGAAGGACTGGAAAGATACATTTTTGTTGCCAACGGCTGTATTGATAGCCAGATGGCACCACACACACACCTAATCTGCTACTTTAGGAAGATGGGATCATCCAGCCAAACAAAGAGGACCTAGAATCACTCAGTCTAGGGGATTCTCTTCTGGACCGGGCAAGAACCACAAGCAATCCTTTGTAAGCATCCTAGAGACTCTGAGTGACTCCGTGAAGAAGAATACTGAAACCACCTGTGTATTCCACAGCGACAGTCATTTAAAAAATTAGATTCTGATGAAAGCAGAGAGAAGGGAGAAGGATGATTTTTAAAATGCAGGCTTCCACCTCCGGAAATATTTCAGAACGGGTGCCTTTATAATTACTTCCTCCCGCCTGGCCCATGAAGCTCCCCATCCTACACGGGGATCGGTGTGGGAGAGAAGTGGGGAGTCTGGCGGGATTTTGAGGGTGCGGCGTGGAAAGGGCTGAGGTCACACAGTGCGATGCAGCTCTGGATATTCATGCAACCCTGCAAACAGGGCTCGCCGGCAGCTGTCACCACCTCTCCGGACTGACGCTCGGAGGGAAAGGAACAGCTTTCGGAGTTTCCCCAGGAGACCACTCAGCTGTCAGTCCAAAAATGAAAAACACCCCAGTGGGGACTCATTTAAGAGTGTTAAATCCAAAAGCTGCAGTATAGCATCGATGCCGTCTGTGCCATACTTACTAACTTTACGCGCAATTATGGAGAAATTATACTGTGCGGTGCTCTCTCTGTCTAGCAGTTCATTAGTGGCGATGGTTCCCTCCGTCCCATCTATTGTGAAGTAGCTGTCCCCATCACTCTTCCAGTCTATGAAGTACCTGTGTATAAAAAAAGAGCGGATGCAAATGCATAGTGATTACACATTAATCATAACGGCAGTCAGGCTAACTTGACACAGTTCCTTATTTTCTCTCCCCGTAGCTATTACCCACCTTGCAATAAAGAAGAGTCTAAATGACAGCTTCTTTATTGCAAAGTCAGTATGCTCAAGGGGAAAGGGGAAATAATGAAAGATTTAGTGCTCCTGCTGTTCATATTATTTTAGGGTCTTGACACCTTGAAAGCTCAGCAGAGACTAAAATTCTGAAGCTGACCATGGGTTTCCTTAACCTGCTGAATATTAAAACTTTTCGAGCAGTAAAAAAATCCCTTAATGGTGGCTTTGGGAAGAGCTGGGGGTGGGAGGGCCATCTGGAAACAGCTGTAAAGGACTGCGGCCAGAGCAGAAGTAGGATCTTTGTATTCACAGACAGGGAAAGGGGCATCATGGTAAGGAAATCGAGGGGACATTTTTAAATTGACACTGTGGTAAAGGCATGGAAATCTTTCCCCAAACACACATAAAAGGGCATAGTTGTTTATTGTTCTATAGATCTGGACACCTTTAAAAAAAACAGTGACCTTGGCTAATACTGTCTTTTTTATGTTCTTTATTAGCTAACCTTTTTGGTAATAAGAGACACTGCAGTTCTAGCTATTGGACTGAAAAATCCAAGAAAAAAACAACAAAAAACCAGAAATTGCATTTATATAAATCTTCAGGTAACAAGAGAAATATAGTGGCACACACAGATATATACAGTCTCTCTCTCTCTCTCTCTCTCTCTCTCTCTCTCTCTCTCTCTATATATATATATATATATATATATATATATTGTATATATATAATGTATATATATAATTATGTTCAAACATATATTTTCAATCATAATAATAAACATTTTAAAATTTTACCACCTACTGGAGATTGTTCCAAATGTTTATGTATATTTATTTATCAAAACCCCACAAAAGCCCTAAAAGTTAGTATTATTAATCTTCTTATTTCATATATGAGGAAACTGAAACATAGAGACATTAAGAAATTCTCCCAAGTTCACCTAGTTAGAAAGTTTTAGAGCTGATATTTGAACCCGGTCAATAGTTTTCCTTATATTTATTATTATATAGTATTACCAATTTTAAATAAACATTTTACATGAAAGGGTTTTGCTAACCAAAAGGCTCAAAGTACCATTTATTTATCACCATCATTCTGGCCAGCTGAATCAAGGCAAGGTCACTACAAACCATGGGTGAAAGCGGATGACATCTTCATAATTAGCCCATCTGAATCACCAGGCCCAGGAAGTGATCTGGTTATTAATTATGGTATGAATCATGCTATTAATCTGCCTTTGATAATTCTCTTGTTGATGTGAATGGTGAGAATGCATTGATGTCTATTGATATCACAGTTGTATCCTGTCTCATAAGAATGTTCTCAAAACCATAAATGAAGTTAAAGCACATTTGAAAGTCAGGGAGCACAGGGTATAATGAGTTTAATTCTCTCCATCACATAATCTTTTCTGGACAAGAAAGCATTTTCTCACCGTAGCCCTTTTCAGAACCTTTATTCAATATCCATGCCTAAATTAAGATGAAAATTGCTACGGAATCTCTTTAGTAACTGTAGCATTTTTGGAAGAATGTTGGTGCAGATTGTGTTCAATTGCACAATTTAGCAAATATTTGCTCAGTGTCCCCTATGTTTTAGACCCCATACTAGGATTGAGGCATATAAAAATAAATAAAGTACAACCCCACTAATGAAAAGTCTTGTTGGGCAGACACATATAAACATTTAAACATCTGCTAGAAGAATAAAGACAGGAGAGAGTACAAAGAAAATACTTGCAGTGCAAGCCTATTGGTTCAGACAGACTTTGGTGATGTTGGGCTGATATTGGAAGATGAAAAATGAATTTTTGAGGAGATGAGTGAAGCAGACAAAGTGAGAGAAGGAAGAAAGGTTTTTCAGGAAGTTTCAAAAGTCGTTTTGTAGCAAACCCATGGAGTTTGTGTTAGGGAACTGACTACAAGTTGTCGGGATTATGGAAACATATCTGAGAGGCACAATAACTTTAAAAAAGGTAAGTGATTTAAGTCATACGTTATAATAAGGAGATGGGATATGACCCTGTGGGCAATGAACACTATCAAAGGATGTAATTAGGGTTCGGATGAAAAGTTAATCACATTTAAAGCCTATCATAGTTGTATTTATTTTATTTTTTCCATTGTTCAACTGTGTTTTAAAGATTTGTGAGAATTTATGCCAAAACCGGTTTGACTCAGTGGATAGAGCATCAGTCTGCGGACTGAAAGATCCCGGGTTTGATTCCAGTCAAGGACATGTACTTTGGTTGTGGGCACATCCCCAGTAGTGGGTGTGCAGGAGTCAGCTAATCGATATCTCTCTCTCATCAATGTTTCTAACTCTCTATCCCTCTCTGTAAAAAATCAATAAAATATATAAAAATAAATTTAAAAAATAAAGATTGTGAAAATTTAAAATACTGGTGATGTCCAGTATGGAGAAATAGACAGCGCCACTGTTCTGCTCCATGCCATTTTGTTATTACGTTGGTGAGAAGGCAGAATTAACATAGGCAAGGGCCATGTGTGTGGGGAGTTGGCACTTCTCTCCCTGTCTGCATTGGTTTTCTCTGGGTGTTCTGGTTTCAGCCACGCTCCCTCCCCACCCCCCAAAGATGTGCATATGAGTTGAGCTGGCATATCTAAATTGTCCTAATCAAAAGGAATGTAGGTATGTTGGGAGGGGCTTTGTGATGGAAAGGCATCCTGTTCAGTGTCAGGCGTATTGAAAGGGGACCAGACTGTAAGCATTTCCTGTATACTAGAATCTTGCCCAGAGACAAGGGTATATAAAGGGGTACTTAGGGATATAAAGAGATTTGATTCAATGGGTTATGAGAAAGACTTGAAATAACTAGGAATATGCTGGCTGCAGGAAGGAGACAGAAGGACATACCAGCTGTCTTTGACTTCATAAGGATGCTGACGTATAGCATGTGTCAGATTTACTTGTTACATTCCAGTGGAAGGGAGGTAAGACAGTGCAATTGAATCCATAGAAATTATGAATTCAGATAAATGTAACAAAGACATGTCGGAACTGCCCAAGGTCATAATGAGTATCCTCAGGGAACAGTATGCACCATGAGCAATGAAAAATTGACCATCCAAATGCTTGGTGTAGATGGAATAGAACAAATTTTAGCACGGTTAGAGACTCTGAAAGTACTTTACAAACCTATCTCTCTTACTTTGCATGGAATGCAATACTTAAAAAAAAAATAAAATATATATATATATATATATATATATATATATATATATATATATATATATATATTGATTTCAGAGAGAAAGGGAGAAGGAGAAAGAGATAGAAACATAAATGATGAGAGAGTGTCATTGATTCTCGACCTCATACACACCCCCTACTGAGGACTGAGCATGCAACTCAGGCGTGTGCCCTTGACAGGAATGGAAACCGGGCCCCTTCGGTCTGCAAACGGATGCTCTCTGCACTGAGCCAAACCAGCTAGGGCAAATATTTTTCAATTACCGTTTCCTACCAGCAGTCTTATTCTTACCTCTACAAACATACTCTACTCCAAGCACTCCAATAAATTATCACTTTACAAACATGAAATTATTTTTTTCAGAAACCATTTCAATCATATCTGTAGTTACATACATATAATTACCTAATTTAACCCAAATAATTAAATCATTTTATTTAATTGATTTAGTATATTCACAAAGTTGTACAACAATGTTTTCAGTCAGAAAAATTGCAGCAGTTTTTTTTTCTTTTTAAACTTAAACTTATTAGTTCACATATTTTTCATTTAATGGGTAAGCTCCAATTATTTGGAAATTTTACTTGTATGAGACAAAAATAGTGATGTGTGGTGTTAGGATCTTATATTTCTCCTATGTTTACTCTATTTTTCAATAAGTAAATATTTCTAATAGAATATTAATTATTTTTATAATTTTTACTATATTTTTTAGTTATTTTCTTAGTGTTTCTTAGTGTTTTACCATATAAAGCTTAACATTGTCTTCTTATTCATATTAGCTTAATTCTACTCAAATATAGACTTTTTATTTCTATGTAGCTATGTTCTATTATGTATATATGTATATATATTTACATATATATTATCTATATTACATCTATATATTCAAAAGTCCAATAAAAATTGTTATAATTATTGCTTTTTATAATTTTATGTCTATTAAAGCTAAAAAATAAAGAAAAATAAGTATCTTCAAAAAATCTGAGTTCTCTATTTTTTTTTCCCAATAGATTTTTATTGATTTCAGAGAGGAAGAGAGAGGGAGAAAGAGAAACATCAATGATGAGAGAGAATCACTGATGGGCTGCCTCCTGCACACCCCACACTGCAGCCCAGGCATGTGCCCGCACTGGGAATCGAACTGCATGGACTTCCTGGTTTATAGGTCGACGCTCAACCACTGAGCCATGCTAGTGAGGCTGAGTTTTCTACTCTTATGTACTTCTTTTAACCCTGGGAAATTCTCTGAGTCACCGTTCCAGGCATGGATGAAGGCAGAGGGTGATCTCATTTTGGCTTCCCGGAACTAGCGAAATGGAGTGAGTGACTGGGCCCCATGTTATCTGTCTACCAGGGGTAGAGCCTGTGTCATTCCAGTGGGATTGGGAGGGGGAAGTTAACTGCCCACCTCCCAACCACACTCACAGGAATTTGTCCGCTGAGTTGGGGGGATGAGAAACCCAGCCCCTCTTGGTGAGATGTTACATCTCACTGGGAGCTGAGGGCAGAGGGGTCATGTGTTCTCAGCCAGGCCAAAGTGGGTTTTCTATCTGGGAAGTGTTTGCAAAATCCCAGATCCCTGGCATCAGAGGTGAATAAAGCTAGTCTAGAAAATTCAAAGGACCTTGGGGAAGAAAGATAACCACATTCACAGAAAGTAA